GTCAAGGCTATGGTTTTTCCAGTGGTCATGTATGGATGTGAGAGTTGGACTATGAAGAAAGCTGAGCACCCAAGAATTGATGCTTTTGAACTGTGGTGTTGGAGAAGACTCTTGAGAGTCCCTTGGACTGCAAGGAAATCAAACCTGTCAATGCTAAAGAAATCATTCCTGAATATTCATTTTAAGGACTGATGCTGAAGCTGAAACTCCAATACTTTGGCCACCTGATGTGAAGAACTGACTCATTAGAAAAGACCTTGATTCTGGGAAAGATTGAAGGCAGGAGTAGAAGGGGACGACAGAGAATGGGATGGTTGGATGGCATCACCAACTCAATGAACATGAGTTTGAGTAAACTCTAGGAGTTGATGATGGTCAGGGAAGCCTGCCATGCTGCAGTCCATGGGGTCACAAAGAGTTGGACAGAACTGAGCAACTGAACTGAACAGACTTCGCTACCTAAAGGGCTTCCCTGGTGCCTCATTTAGTAAAGAACCCACTTGTCAATGCAAGAGATGCAGGTTCAGTCCCTGGGATGGGTACACACCTGGAGAAGGAAATGGCAAACCACTCCAGTATTGTTGCCTGAAAAATTCCATGGATAGAGGAGCCTAGCGGGCTATAGTCCATGGATCACAAAGAATCAGACATGACTGAGCGTACACACATACAAAGGAAATGTTGAAAGTCCTTCTCTAAATGTAAAAGAAGTAAGAATACATAGAGAAGAGGAAATCACAGTTAGAAAGCAAATCACCTAAATAAGCCAGTATACAGATTTTTTTAAAAATGTCTGTGAAAGTGATGAACAGCAAAATGAACAGCAAAAGGATGAACATGAAGATGTAAGAGGACATCAAAATCCTAAAATGTGGGAGAAAAGAGTACAAAAATGTCAAATTTTTTTTATCATTTCCTAGAATGTGTTTGAGCCTGTATGATTACTAGTCTAAGACAGGTAGAATATAATATGGTATATACATACTTGAAAAACAAGGTAATCACAAATTAAAAGCATGCAACAGATTCACAAAAACCTAAAAGAACATAATACAAAAATAATTCAAACCGAAAAAAAAAAAAAAAAAGAGGGGGACAAGGAAGAAATTTAAAAATCAATGGGAAAGCAGGACTTAAGACAGCAATAAACACATATCAATTAATAATTACCTTAAATGTCAGTGGATGAAACATCCCAATGAGAATACACAGAGTGGAAGACTGTGTGAGAAAATGAGAGCCTACATTATGTTGCCTACAAGAGACCCAGTTTAGAGCAAAGGACACACAGATTGAAAGGTGATGGGAGAAGATTTCATGAAAATGGAAATGACCAAGTGGGAATCACAATATACTGTCAGACAAAACATACCTTAAAGGCCATAAAAAACATAAAGAAGGACACTATATAAAGATAAAAGGATCAATACAATAAAAGAACTTTATACTCATCAACATATATGCACCTGATGTTGGAGCACCCAAATACATAAAACAGATTCTAACAGATATAAAGGGAGAAACCAACAGGAATATAGTAATGGTACGAGACCTTTAACACCCTACTCCCATCAGTGGACAGATCTAGATAGAAATCAAGGGACCAGGGATCCTAAATGACATGATAGAACAGTTAGACCTAATTGATATTTTCAGGACATTACTGGAGAAGGAAATGGCAACCCACTGCAGTACTCTTGCCTGGAAAATCCCATGGACGGAGGAGCCTGGTAGGCTACAGTCCATGGGGTCGCAAAGAGTCAGACATGACAGTGACTTCACTTTCAATGTTTACTTTCATGCATTGGAGAAGTAAATGGCAACCCACTCCAGTATCCTTGCCTGGAGAATCCCGGGGATGGAGGAGCCTGGTGGGCTGCCATCTATGGTGTCGCACAGAGTCGGACACAACTGAAGTGACTTAGCAGGAGCAGCAGGACATTATATCCATAAAAAACAGAATACACATTCTTTAAATGCATGAAATATTCTCTAGGATTGACCACATACTAGGGCACAAAAACAGGCCTCAACAAAAAATATAGAAATTATCTCAAGCATCTTTTCTGACCACAATGAGATGAAACTAAAAAAATCAACCACAGAAAAAGAAATGAAATAAAAATGATCACAAGGCAATATGCTACTAAAAAAATCAATGAGTCAATGATGAAAGAGTAAATTAAAAAATACCTTGAGAAAAATGACAATGAAAATACAACCATACAAAATCATTGAGATGTAGCAAAAGGAGTTCTTAAAGGGAAATTCACAGCTTATACAGGCCTTCCTCATCAAAACAAGAAAGAAAACCTAATCTACCACTTGAAGTAGAAAATGAACAAACAGAAGATAAAATCGGCAAAAGGAAGGAAATAATCAAGATCAAAAAGGAAATAAATAAAATAGTGGTTAAAAAATAGAAAAAAAAATCAATAAAACCAAAAGTTCATTCTTTGAAAGGGTAAACAAGATTGATAAACCTCTGGCCAGGCTCACCAAGAAGAAGAGAGAGAACCCAAATAAACAAGAAATGAGAAAGGAGACATAAAAACTGATACACAGCAATAACAAAGACCATAGGGAATGCTATAAACAATTATATGCCAACAAATTTGACAACCTAGAAGAAATGGACAAGTTTCTAGAAACATGCCCACTAAATTTGAATCACAGCCCACCAAAATTGAATCAAGAAATAGATCATTAGAAAAGACTAATCACTAGAGGTAAAATAGAATATGTAATTTAAACCTTCCTATAAACAAAAGTCCAGGACCAGATAGATGGCTTCACAGGTGAATTCTACCAAACATACAAAGAATAAATGACACTGATCCTTCTCAAACTCTTCCAAAAAATTGAAGAGGAGGTCCAAAGACTTTCTATAAAACCACCCTGATACCAAAACCAGACAAAGACACCACCAAAGAAGAAAATGACAGGCCAATATCTTTGAGGAATATAGATGCAAAAATTCTCAGCAAAATATTAGCAGACCAAATCCAAAAGCAACAACAAAACAATGATCATATACTACAACCAAGAGTCATTAAGTTCACAAGGATGTTCAACATATACAAGTCAATGTGATACATAAACAATAGACAAAATCACATGATCATCTCAAGAAAAAAGACCATCTGACAAAATTTCACATCCATTCATGATAAAACTCTTACCAAAGTGGGTATAAAGGGAACATATCGCAACATAATAAAAGCCATTTATGACAAACCCACAGCCAATGTAATAGCTAATGGTGAAAAGCTGAAAGCCTTCATGCTAAAATCTAGAACAGGACCAGGAGGCCCACTCTCACCTCTTCTATTTAACATAGTATTGGAAGTCCTAGCCACAGAAATCAAACAAGAAATAAAATTTATCCAAGTTGGAAGGGAAGAGGCCAACTGTTATATGCAAATGACTTAAATATAAGGCATTTTACCATCAGGGCTTCCCTGGTAGCTCAGACAGTAAAGAATCTGCCTGTAATGCAGGAGACCCGGGTTCAATCCCTGGGTTGGGAGGATCCCCTGGAGAAGGGCATGGCAACCCACTTCAGTATTCTTGCCTGAAGAATCCCCATGGACAGACGAGCCTCCTGGGCTATAGTCCACGGGGTCACAAAGAGTTGGACACAACTGAGCAACTAACACATACATACCATCAAGCTCCTAGAAGAGATCATAGGCAAAACATTCTCTGACATAAAGTATATCAATGTATTCTTAGGTCAGTTTCCCAAGGCAATAGAAATAAAAGCAAAAATAAACAAACAGGACTTAATCAAACTTACAAGCTTTTGCACAACAAAAGAAACCATAAAGGAAAAGAACCTACATAATGGGAGAAAGTATTTGCAAATAATGAGACCAACAAGGGCTTTGTTTCCAAAATATGAAAACAGCTCATACATACAACTCAACAGCAACAATAAAACCTAATTGAAAACTGGGCAAAAGACCTAAACAGATATTTCTTCAAAGAAGAAATACAAATGGCCAATAGGCACATGAAAAGATGTTAAACATTGCTAATTATTAGAGAAGTACAAATCAAAACTACAACAAGGTACCACCTCACACCAGTCAGAATGGCCATCATTAAAAACTACAAATGACAGGCTGGAGAGGATGTGAACAAAAGGGAACCCTCCTGCTCTGTTGGAATGTAAGTTGGTATAGCCACTATGGAAAATATTTATAGTATGGAGATTTCTCAGAAAACTAAAGAATTACCATATGATTCAAGCTTTTTGCTGGCAGGAAAGCTATGACAAACCTAGGCAGTGTGATGAAAAGTGGAAACATTATTCTGCCAACAAAGGTCTGTATAGTCAAAGCTCTGGTCTTCCCAGCAGTCACATACAGTTGTGAGAGATGGACTGTAAAGAAAGCAGAGCACCAAAGAATTGATGCCTTCAAACTATGGTGATGGAGAAGGCTCCTGAAAGCCCCCTGGACAGCAAGGAGATCAAACTAGTCAATCTTAAGGGAGATCAATCCTGAATACTCATTAGAAGGATTGATGCTGAAGTGGCAGTATTTTTTTTGTTCACCTGATGAGAACAGCCAACACATTGAAAAAAATCCCTGATTCTGGGAAAGATTGAGGGCAGAAGGAGAAGAGGGCATCAGTGGATAAGATGGCTGAACGGCATCACTGATGCAATGGATGTGAACTTGGACAAACTTTGGAAGATGGGGAGGGACAGGGAGGCCTGGTGTGCTGTGGTCCATGGGGTTGCAAAGAGTCAGACATGCCTGGTGACTGAATAACAACAGTGATTCAACAGTCCCACTTCTAGACATATATCCAAACAAAACTCTAATCCAAGAATATACATGCGCCCCTGTGTTCATAGAATCACTATTCACAATAGCCAAGACTGGGAGACAACCTAAATGTCCATCATAAGTGAATAAAGATGTGATACATATATACAATGGAATACTACTCAGCCATTTAAAAAAGAATGAAATCATGCTATTTGTAGCAACAAGGATGCAACTTGAGATTATCATACTAAGTGAAGTAAATCATAAAGACATATACCATATGATACCACTTATATGTGGAATCTAAAATGATACAAATGAATCTATGTACAAAACAAAAACAGACTCACAGACATAGAGAATAGACTCGTGATTGCCAAGGGGGAGAGGGTTGGAGGAGGGATGGTGTGGGATGTTGGGGTTAGCAGATATAAGCGATTATATATGGAATGGATAAACAATAAGGTCCTTCTGTATAGCACAGAGAACTATGTTCAGTATCCTATGATGAACCATAATGGAAAATAACTTTAAAAAAGAAAAATTCTTCACTAATGTATTTGTTATATGGTTATATGATTTTGTTACTGATTAGACTCAATATTATTTGTTAAATCAATTGTTGTGAGTTTATTTTCATAGATCTTCTTTTTCTATTTTACAGGAAGGAAAATTAGAAGAGGTGAATACAATCTTAGCCATTCATGACAACTATAAACACGAATTCTACAATGATGACTCTTGGGTTGAATTTATTGAACTAGATATTGATGACCCTGATGAAAAGACTGAAGGGTCAGACACAGACAGACTTCTGAGCAATGACCCTGAAAAATCACTCAATATCTTTGGGGCAAAGGATGACGACTCTGGGCGTACCAGCTGTTACGAACCTGACATTCTAGAGACTGATTTCCATGTCAGTGACATGTGCGATGGTACCTCAGAGGTTGCTCAGCCACAAAGGTTAAAAGGGGAAGCAGATATCTTGTGCCTTGATCAGAAGAATCAAAATAACTCACCTTCTAATGATGCTGCCCCTGCTAGCCAGCAGCCCAGTGTTATCCTAGTAGAGGAAAACAAACCAAGACCACTTCTTATTGGTGGAACTGAGTCAACTCATCAAGCTGTCCATACACAGCTCAGCAATCCAAGTTCATTGGCAAACATTGATTTTTATGCCCAGGTAAGCGACATTACACCAGCAGGGAATGTGGTCCTTTCCCCAGGCCAAAAGAATAAGACTGGGAACCCCCAGTGTGACATGCACCCAGAAGTGGTCACACCCTGCCAAGCAAACTTCATCATGGACAACGCTTACTTCTGCGAGGTAGACGCCAAAAAGTACATTGCCCTGGCCCCTCACGTCGAGGCTGAATCACATGTAGAGCCAAGCTTTAACCAGGAAGACATTTACATCACCACAGAAAGCCTTACCACTACAGCTGGGAGGTCGGGGACAGCAGAACATGTTCCAAGTTCTGAGATACCTGTCCCAGATTATACCTCCATTCATATAGTACAGTCTCCACAGGGCCTTGTACTCAATGCGACTGCCCTGCCCTTGCCTGACAAAGAATTTCTCTCATCATGTGGCTATGTGAGCACAGACCAACTGAACAAAATCATGCCATAGCTTTTCTTTGATTTCCCATGAGCTACCCATTGAATGGCACAGAGTTGGCTGGGGCACGAATGCTTAAACCAAAACAATGTTTAAACTTTTGGGGGGAGGGGGTGAGTTGAGGGTGGGGAATATGAATTCTAAATGCCTTTTCCTGAAATGTTGAAACGTGATATTAAAAAAAGAAGAAGAATCCTTAATCAGATAGATATTCCTGTTGTGAATTGTAAATATTTTAAAGAACTGTCTCAAAGACTGTTTAGTGGCAGTAATTGTCTTGTTATTGTGGGTGTTAATTTTGTGCTACTAAGCATTGAATGGCTATGTTTTTTAATGTATAGTTAATCATGCTTTTTGAAAAAGCGAAAAATCAGGTGGCTTTTGCAGTTCAGGAAGATTGAATGCAAATCATAGCACAGGTTAATTTTTTTAAGAATTGGGAACTAAAATTATAGGTAAGAAGACAGGAAATAGTTTGGATATGTAAAACATTTATTTTGGCATAAAATGGATAAAGATATTTTTAATAATTTACACTTTAAGCATGGCTATTTTCTATTACACTGTACACGGTGTACTGTAGTTCATGCCAACCCATCTAAAGAATGTAATAACTGCAGTCTAAAGCTGGTTTAATGCTTTGGTCAATGCACCTGAAGAAAAACTAGTTTTTTACAAGCCCCTTTTTATACCTCCTAAAACTCTAAGTGATTCTGAAATGATTGTAGTTAGCTGCATTATTGGAAAGTGCTCATCTTATCTGAATTTGTAAACAAATATTTGTTAATTTAGAAAACTTTTAAATGTTTGCACAAGTCAACTTACCATGAACCAAAAAAAAAAACAAAACCCACAGAACAACAACAACAAAAAACCTTTTCTTACCCAAGTTTTGGTTCATGTCAGAGGGCTACATACTAACAGAAGTAGAAATTACAGCTCGTTCCTATTGACCAGGATGCTTAATCACTGCGGTACCCTGGGAAAAAGTGTCTTAGTGCATGCATATCATGAGTCAAGCCTTAGAACCTCCACCGCAATGTCTTGTATTTCATATTTATCTAAGGAAGGAATAGGAATAAGAAGCATTTTGTAAGTTGAAGCTGGTCAAAGTGAAGTTAACCAGATTATGGAATAAAAGTTCAGGAAGTAGGTTTTTCTTTCATAGCCGATAGCCAGACACATACTCACTGTTAGTGATGATGAGAAACAAACAAACAAACAAAAAAAAAAACCAAGATTTTAAATCCCGAAAGATAACTCAAAAATTTATTAAAACCCATAGCAGAAACTTTCTTCCTCACATTTTTTGTAGGATTTATTTGAAGCAGTAAAATGAGTTTCATCATTTTTTACCTCCCCTCTGAGTGAATTGGCCTTAAAGCTGGTAGTTAGAAGAAAAAGGGGTCTGAGTAATTTATAAGTTATTGCTCAATCCCTTAATAAACTAAACATCATTCACAGGAGCATTGGGATTGCTCCACAAAATGTTTGTCAAAAAGAGAAAACTCATCTCACCCGTGAATGCTTCTCACTTTAAGTATTTTTTAAAAGTTAATAAAACTTTAAAGTTAGCTTTAACTTAAAAAGCATATTTGCCATTTAGCTCAGATCTTTTTAGAAAATAAGCTTAATGGTTGGTAATTTTAAATTCCTTCTTTCTTGCAGGAAGGACAGTGAAAAATTAGAATTGGGTGTTTAAAGTTCAACATGTTACTTGTAATAAATGTTCAATAGGTTTTCTGCTATCTTGCTGCTATGGTGTTCTCTAAGAGCTACATAATTTAGTTTCATAGACAATTTCATCTATGTAGAACCTAATTCAACTTAAAACTGTGTGTTTGGGGAAACTATCTTACCATTTCACAGTAGGCTGACGACATTTCTATAGCCAAAAATAGCTAAATACCTCAATCGGTCTCCGAATGTCATTTTGGTACTTTGCTGGCCACACAAGCCGTTATTCACTAGTATGACTAGTTGTGTCCTGCAGTTTATATTTAACTTTCTTTATGTCTGTGGATTTTTTTCCTTCAAAGTTTAATAAATTTATTTTCTTGGATTTGTGATGGTATCCTTCTGTTAACAAACACCACAGAAAAACATCCTCAATCAGACTGCATACTCTTGAGTTCTTCTCCTTGTAAGGAGAACTTAGCACAGTAGCTTAAACATAGTAGCAATGTGTGTGATTTTTGATCTGGGCTGAAATACAGAAGCAGAGGAAACAGCTCCTTACCTTTTTTTTTTTTTTTTTTTTTAAGGAAACAAGAGCCCAGCACAAAAATAACCTGCTGGCTTTCCTGGACTCTTAGAGCCATATTTTGGATGCATCAAAGCATGCATGACACATGTGGGGGTGTTTGTTTGTGAGAAGGGGCAGAGCTTAAGCCTGTTGCCTAGAAGGGAAAAACAGCTCTTCCTCTACCGTACACACATTAGAACAAGTCAGTTTGTCAGACAAGCTCCTTGTCATAATGGGAAGCTGATAAGAAGTCAAGACTGGGAGGGAAGCTAGTCGGGCAGGTTGTGTAGGACCCTGAGAACAGGAAAGCCAGGAGGCAGAGATTCTTCCACAGGAGGTTCCAGCTCCTGGAGAGGTGAAACTGTGATAAAATCAAATGCCATACACCCCAGGTGGGCAACCCACAAACAGAAAAATGATTCTATTACAGAGATTCTCCCACAGGAGTGACAGTGTTGAGTCCTGCAGCAGGCTCCCTAGCCTGGGGGTCTAGCATTGGGAGGAAGCCCCCAGAGCATCTGGCTTTGAAGGCAACTGGGTTTGATCACAAGGCTTCCACAGGACTGGGGAAAACAGAAATTCCACTCTTGGAGGGCACATACAAGGTCATATAAGCATATACAAGGTCTTGAGAACCCAGGAGGAAAAGGAGTGACCTCATAAGACCCTGGGTCAGACCTACCTGCTTGTATTGGAAGGTCTCCTACAGAGCCAGCAGCAGGTGGCTGTGACTCACTGCAGGGACAAAGACACTGGTGGCAATAGTTCTGCAGGGTACGTTTGGCATGAGCTCTCCCGGAGGCCACCATTTTCTCACCAAGACCTGGCCCCACCCAACCGCCTATAGGCTCCAGTGCTGGAACACCTCAGGCCAAACAACCAACAGGGTGGGAACATAGCCCACCAATGAGCTGGCAGGCTGCCTAAAGTTTTACTAAGCCCACAGCTGGTCACTAAACACAACCCTTGACATGGCCCTGCCCAGAGGAGGAACAAGACCCAGCTTCACCCAGCAGTGGACACAAACCAGTCCTCTCCCCCAGGAAGCCATCACAAGCCCCTGAGACCAGCCTCATCCACAAGGGGACAGATCAGCAGAAGCAAGAAGAGCTACAACCCTGCATCCTACAGAATGGAAGCCACGAAAACAAAGACAAAGATGGCAGAGGAATATATCCCAGATGAAGCAACAAGATAAAACCCCAAGAGAACAACTAAGTGAAGTGGAGGTAGACATCTTCCTGAAACAGAATTCAGAGAAATGACAGTAAAGATGATCCAAGATGTCCAAAAAAAAGAAGAAGAAGAACAGGGGCACAGAAAAAGAAGATACAATAAATGTTTAGTGAAGAACTGAAGAGCAGAGATGAACAATACAATAAGTAAAATTAAAAGTACACTAGAAGGAATAAACACCATAAGAAATAAGGCAGGAGAATGTATATGTGAGCTGGAAGACAGAATGGTATATATCACTACTGTGGAACAGAATTTTAAAAAAGAATGAAAAGAAATGAGGACAGTCTTAAGAGACTTCTGGGACAATATTAAATGCACTAACATTAGCAATATAGGGGTACCATAAGGAGAAGGGAGAAAGGACCTGAGAAATAATGGAAGAAATAATAGCTGAAACTTTCCTAACATGGGAAAGGAAACAGTCACCCAAGCCAAGGAAGCAGAGACTCCTCCCAGGAAGGATAAACCCAAGAGGGAACACACATAGACTTTACAGTAAGCAAATTAACAAAAATTAAAGGCAAAGTGATAATACTAAAAGCAACAAGGGAAAAATAACATACAAGTTTATCAACTGATTTTTCCAGCAGAAACTCCACAGAAGGTCAAAAGGGAATGGCAGGATATACTTAAAGTGATGAAAGGGAAGAACCTACAACCAAGAAGACTCTTGTCCAGTTTTGATGGAGAAATCAAAAGCTTTACAAACAAGGAAAAGCTAATAGAATTCAGCACCACCAGATAAAACCAACTTTGCAACAAATGCTAAAGGAACTTCTCTAGGTGGAAAGGTCACAACTAAAAGGAAGAAAATTGCAAATGGAAAAGCTCACTGGTAAAGGCCAACATTCAGTAATGGTAGAAAATCATTCACACATAAATATGATATCAAAACCAGTCATCATGAGGATAGTACAAATGTAGGATATTGAAAATGAAGTTTTTAAAAAACAGCAACTTAAAACAACCTTGTTTATAGATATAGACTGCTATATCAAGACCTCATGGTAACTGCAAACCAAAAATCTATGATAGATACACAAACAAAGAAAATACAAGAGTAAATTTAGTCATTACAAGAGAAGAGAACAAAAGAAGAAGGGAAGAAAAAAGACCTACAAAAACAAATCCAAAACAATTAACAAAATGGCAATAAGAACATACATATAAATATGTGTTGAATGTAAACAGATTAAATGCTCCAACCAAAGACACAGACTGCCTAAACAGACACAAAAACAAGACCCATACTATGAGACCCACATCAGATCTAGGGACACATACATATAGAAAGGGAGGGGATGAGAAAAAGTATTCCATGCAAATGGAAAACAAAGGAAAGCTGGGGTAACACTACTTAAGACAAAATAGATGGTTAAAAAAAATACTCTTAAAAAGGACACTACATAATGATCAAGGTACCAATCCAAGAAGATGTAACAGGTATAAATACATATGCACCTAACATAGCGGCACCTCAGTACATAAGGCAAATACTAGCAGCCATAAAAGGAGAAATAAACAGTAACACAATAATAAAGGAAGACTTTAACACCCCACTTTCATCAATAGATCATCCAGACAGAAAATCAGTAAAGGAAACAGACCTTACGGATACACTAGACCAGATGAACTTAATTGATATTTATAAAGCATTTAATCTAAAAGGAACAGTCTATACATTGTTTTCAAGTGTCATGGAACATTCTCCAAGTTGATCACATGCTAGACCACGAAATAAGCCTTGGTAAATTTAAGAAAATTGAAATCGTATCAAAAATCTTTTCTGATCACAACACTATGAGATTAGAAGTCAACTACAAGGAAAAAAAAGACTGTAATCGCACAAACATGTGGAAGCTAAACAATATGCTACTAAACAACCAATGGCTCACTGAAGAAATAAAAGAGGGAATAAAAAATACCTGGAGATGAATGAAAATGAAAACTCAATGATTCAAAACCTATGGGACACAGTAAATGCAGCTGTAAAGAGGAAGTTTATAGCAATACAACCTTACATCAGGAAACAAGAAAAATCCCAAATAAACTAGCTTAACACCTAAAGGAGCTAGAGAAAGAACAAACAAAATCCAAAATTAGTAGAAGAAATCATAAAGATCAGAGCAGAAATCAATGAACTAGGGTTGAAAAAAAATAGAAAAAATTAAACTAAAAGCTAATTCTTCAAAAAGATAAAATTGATAAACCTTTAGCCAGAACAGACCCAGACTCACCAAGGAAAAAAATAAAAAGCACTCAAATCAATAAAATTAGACATGAAAAAGTGTTACAATGAACACCACAGAAATACAAAGGATCATAAGAGATTATTATGAATAAATATATGTCAATATAGAAGTTACTTGAATCTAAACTCTAGGTGGAATCCAAGATCATCTGCCTAGTCTCCTTGCTAACTTAATATTTTAAGGGCTGTGTGGAAACAGCACAGCTTCAGAATAAGAGTTCGACCTTTGGTTAAGCTCTGTTCCCTTGGAAATCAAAGAATATTATGTCAACTATGTTACACAAGTAAAATTGCTCATGGTTAAAATGACCTGACTGGTAAATTGCATCTGGATAAGGAGCAACTCTAAATACTCAAAGATAAACCATGCTTTAAACATAAGAATGGTGACTCTGAGTACATCCCATGCAGGGACACTGTAAGTTTTGCCTATGGAGCTGTAACAAGAGTTAGTGGCACCAGTGAGATATAGAGCTTCTAAGCCTTGGGGGAACTCTTTTATATGCCCACTACCAGTATCCTGCTCTTATACCTCAGCCATCACTTGGCAGAGGAGAGGAAAGAAAACACCGGACAGTTGTATTAATGATTGTGTAGACTGCTATATGGACTGTCGCTACAACTATGACTATAAAACAGAAAGCCTCATACTGCCCTGTCCTACATTCTCATCAGTAAACTAGAAACAGGTATTGCCTGTAGTCATCTGGGGAATGTTTACTTGAACTTAAGATCCCTTTGTGGAGGCAACAAGAGACACTTGCCATTCCTTGAATAGTTTGTGCTTTTCCATCTCTCTGTGTTTTTTTCCTGCCTCTTCCTTCACCTGTAAAGCTCCCACCTACAAAGCCTGCCTGTCAAATTTCCCCTCATTATTCATGGCCCAGATCAAGACTTCCTGCATGCAGCCCCCCTGATTCCCTCCAGCCTTGAATGATCACTCCCTCCTTTGAACCACTTCTAAATGGTGTTTATCACACTCTAGTTTTTAGCTCACCTAACAACCTGCCTAGAATGGGTTTACCAACATGTACTCTATGGCATACCTGTTCCCTTAACTGTTCTTAAATGAGCAGTTCTCTAAAGTTGGAAAATACTTTATACTACACTTCCCTCTGGGAAAGCCAGAGTACAAATTGACATTTTAAACTACTGTTAAAGAAATCTACTTAAATTTTTTTTCCATTTATTTTTATTAGTTGGAGGCTAATTACTTTACATCATTGCAGTGGTTTTTGTCATACATTGAAATGAATTAGCCATGGATTTACATGTATTCCCCATCCCGGT